ACACAGTCCTAGCAGAAGGCTCGGTCTCTGATTTTAAAGGAAACTGCCTAGCAGACTCCTCCTGCCAAGAGCGGCCCTACTTCCCTTCATTTTCCCTCTCTCCCCTCTTCCCCTACCCAAGGCCAAGTTCTCCATCTGCATCAGCCCAGGGCACCTTCTGCCTGGGGTCTCCCTCTACCATGATGTACATCTCCAGTGTGTCTTTCATTTCTTTTCCTGCTGCTTCTTTTGACTGGAGACCACACTGGTGACATCCCTGGCTTGCCTCATGTCTGTGGTGGTCACTGTTGGTTTTTCTCAGATACCTCCCTTCCTTCTTTTGGAAATGAAGCCTCCTGTGTTCATTTCCTGCCACACACTGACAGATGCTAACCCAGCCTCCCTCAGGCCGTCTCAGGGCAGCCATGCTCTCAGCGTTGGTCTGGGTCTGACTAGAGTGGTGTGATGTGGTCCCTTCAGCCCCGGCTTTTCCCTCCCTCCCTCCCTCCCTCTCTCCTCCCTCCCTTCCTCTCTCCTCCCTCCTTCCCTCCATATGGATGTGATTGTGTGTTTATCTCCCTGTGTGAGAGTGTGATTGTGTATCTCCCTGTGTGTGACTGTGATTGTGTGTGTATCTCCCTGAGTGTGAGTGTGATTGTGTGTATCTCCCTGAGTGTGAGTGTGATTGTGTGTGTATCTTCTTTGTCACTTTCCGCCTAACATATCAAAGGTAAAGTTTCTGGTGTGAGCCCAGAGCGTGTTGGTTTGGCCAGTTTAACTCTCCAGCTTCCCTCAGGGGTCTTGTCTCTGCCTCTTGTGCATTGGGATTGCAGATGGGCCTCCCTGTACCAGACCAGCATTTAGGTGGGTGCTGGCTAGCTTCCCAGCCTAGTCCCCAAGCTTGCCCAGCAGTCTTTATCTGCTGAGCCTTCTCTCTCAGCCCCTTTTCACTCCCTTTGGTGGGGATCGGATGTGGGTGCGAAGGCGTATGCTTGCTCTGGCCATGGCAATGAGGCTCATCATATCCTTGTGAGAGATGGGGAGACTCACAGGAGGGGCTGACGGATGACCTCATGGAATTGTCGCCCGCCACATTGGCTGTGCTTTAGCTTGAATCTGGAATGTTCCCCCGGAAGCCTGTGTGTGGAATGTTTAGGAGGCTGTGAAAGCTTCTGCGGAGGAGGCTAGTGGGAGGAGTAGCAATCACTGCTGTCATGCTGGAGGAGGGGCTGGAGAGACGGCTCAATGGTTGAGAGCACTGACTGCTCTTCCAGAGGTCCCGGGTCAGTTCACAGCACACACAACAGCTCACAACTGTCTGTGACTCTAGTTCTAGGGTGTCTGACACCCTCATGCAGACATACATGCAGGCAAAATACCAATGCACATAAAATAAAAATAAATTATAAAAGATACATTTTTAAGCAGTTTAGTTTGTATACGGATGTTTTGCCCGCATGAGCTGTGTACATTACACGTATGTCTGGTTCCTGCAGAGGCCAGAAGAGGGATCCCCGGGACCAGAGTTATAGAGGGATGTGAGCTGCCATGTGGGTACTGGGAACTGAACCTGCAACTTTGTAAGAGCAGTAGACGCTCTAAACCAATGAGCTCTCTCTTCAGTCCCACTGGAAAGGTACTGGTCCCTCAACCTCTTCTGGTGTGTCTCTGTGCCTTCTGGTCTACCATGATGCAAGTAGTCTCGTGGGCCATCCACTCTCGTCATGATGAGCCACCTGGCCATGGCCACCAAACAACAGAGCCAACCAAGTTAAGTTGACAGCCCTGAAGCTGTTAACTAAAGCAAAGCTTCTATCCTTTGAAGCTGATTGGCTCAGGTGCTTTGTCACGGTGACGGAACACTGACTGACAAAGCCCTGTGAATCTCTGTGTGACCTTTTACTCCTCTACCTGAGACAAACGCACTTACCTCCTTGCCACGTCTGTAACCTGGTCTGTGCAAGCAGCCCAGCCAGGTGTCTACTGTGACTATAAATTAGCAGGACCAATAGTGGAATCACCTGGAAAAACTTAACTAGAACAACCGCTCAGCTAGGCAACCCACTACTGTGTGGACGCCCAAGGCGATGACTACGTCAAAATAGTCACTGCTCACTTAGCCCTCCAGGAACAAGACTTCAAACCTACAAACATCCAAAGGGCTTTTGGATATCCAGAGTGTTTATTGGAAAAAAATAAGACAGAGAACTGCAAGTCTTAATGCAGATGTCAGAAGCAAAATTACAAAACTTAGCTTAAAGATTTATTAGTAGCTGGGTGGTAGAGCACACCTTTAATCCCAGCACCTGGGAGGCAGAGACCAGTGGATCTTTGCGAGTTCCAGGCCAGCCTGGCCTACAGAAAGTGAGTTTCAGGTCAGCCAAGGCTACACAGAGAAACCCTGTCTCGGAAAAACAAACACATAAATGTATTAGTAGTGGCTGGGAGTAAGTTTAAGTCCTGAGGTCCATCCCACACCAGGAAAAAAAATAGCGGTGAAGATACACCATGAGGTACACACCGTCTCCATGCTCTGACCATGTGCAAAAGCCTCATGCACTCAGTGTGTTGACCAAAACAAACACATTATCCTAAATGTGGCCCTCGTTCTTTTTATTTTTATTTTTTGAAACAGTGTTTTTCTATGTAGCCTTGGCTGTTGGCTGTCCTGGAACTCTGTAGACCAGGCTGGCCTCAAACTCAAAAGATCTTACTGCCTCTGCCTCCTAACTGCTGGGATTAAAGGCGTGCACCACCACTGCCTGGCTAAGCTTGATTTTTGCTTAGTGAAGGCTTAGTCCACCCTAAGACCACCTCCTCCTACAATGCTAGGAAAGTCACAGATGTGAAGCCCTTGACACCTCCCATGATTCAGCATGTTTCTCATCAAATTATCTGAGACACTAGCTACCTCCTACTCTCTGTGTACTCTATGTATGTGTGCGTGCGTGCGTGTGTGCACGTCACAGTGCATACATGGAGGTTGGAGGACACCTTGCAGGCGTAAATTCTTTCCTTCCACTTTCCAGGGCCCAGGTGTTGAACTTAGGACCCCAAGCTTGAGGGCAAGCGTGTTAACCTGCGGAACCCTCTCACTGACCCACGCCTGGGGAAATGTTTTAACTGACATATGCAATTGTACACACGCGCTGTGACATTTCCCACACAGGCACAAAGTGAAGGGAATTAGCATAGCCATCCCCTGAGGGGCTTCACTTTGGAAAAATGCTAGTACCACGCTCATGCCTCCTCCTCAGACATCAGTGGATTTTAGAGCAGCAGCCCTGGTAACACAGGGTTCAAGGCCCACATTACCTGATCTGTCTATGCAAGGAGAAAGACAGGAAAACACATTGAAGGCAATGGGAGCCCTCAGATCAGTGACTTCACATCCGCTGCTGTAAAATATGTCCCCTCTATGCTCACAAGCCTTTGAGAAGCTGGGATTGTGGTTTGTTTTTTTTCTTTTTTGTCCACTGACTTTGGTGAATGGACATAATGAAGCTGGAAGCTGAAAAGAATTACTGTCTGGGTAGTTTTTCCAGGTTCTCGGCGTTTCTGTTTCCTGGTGGCAATGCCATTTGTTTACCTTGAAAATGGGAGAAGACACTTTTATGGGTCCTGTCTCCATGGAGCGCAGGAGTCTCGCTCACACAGCTCTGCTCAGCGCCTTCCCACTGGACCCGGTGAAAGAGCACCCCCCATGGGAGCCATAACCAATAGGGCGCAGCGTGGGGCCAGATTTATTTCTGCCCCACTTCTCTAGGACATTGGTTTCCTCAGAGTGCAGAAGGGACTGGCCAGAGGAGCGTCTCTCCACCCTGAACACGCTGTCTGGGTTTCGGGTTAGGCCTTGGGGATGCTAGCTCTTGTTTAACGTTGCAGGTGTCTGTCTGCGTGTGCAGCTGTGTGGGCATATACAGGAGGAGGGCAGAAGGTGACCTCACTGTCCTTCCTCAGATGCTGTCCACCTAGGTTTTTGACACAGGATTTCTCATTGGCCTGGGACTCATCAATTAGACTAACTTGGGTCCTCATTTTACATAGAAAGAATTTACTGGCTAATCTAGCTCCTAACCTTCAATGTCTAATTCTTTATTGTTTTGAGACAGGGCCTCACTGTGTAGCCCTGGTTGGCCTGGAACTTGCCATGTAGATCAGGCTGTCCCTGATCTCAGAGAGATCCCCCTGCCTCTGTCTCCCAAGCACTGGGATTAAAGGTGTGCGCCACCACGCCTGGCTCAGTGTCTAATTCTTAGTCTGTGAATAGAATGAGCTGTCTCCTCCCAGAAAGGATCAAGGTTTTAATGAATGCCTGGACACTTCCACATGCCGTGTGTCCTTACCACACAGAACAATGTTGTTGAAGGAGAACAGGGGCCCTGCTTCAGGCTCCACCCAGAAAACCTTGATACTAACATCACACCACTGCCAGCTACTCCCCTGCTTCGGAGAAACACCAGTGCCAGCAAGTGTCTCCCGCCATCATATGCCCAGGTGAAAGGATAACTATCAGGCCCAGATCCTGGCTTAGCGGCAGGGGGATTATGGGATGGGAGAGTTACAAGGTGTTAATTTTCAAGATAATGATGGTAGTGGTGATAATGGTGTTGATGACGGTGATGGTGGTGGTGATGATGATGATGTCGTGATGATGGTGATGATGATGATGATGATGATGGTGATGATGATGTCGTGATGATGGTGATGATGATGATGGTGATGATGATGATGTCGTGATGATGGTGATGATGATGATGATGGTGATGATGATGATGGTGTTGATGGTGATGGTGATGATGATGATGGTGTTGATGGTGATGATGATGATGGTGATGATGGTGATGATGATAATGGTGATGATGATGATGATAGCAATGATGGTGATGGTGATGATGATGATGATGATGGTGATGATGATGGTGGTGATGATGATAATGGTGATGATGGTGATGATGATGGTGATGATGATGATGGTGGTGATGATGATGTCGTGATGATGGTGATGATGATGATGGTGATGATGATGGTGATGATGGTGATGATGATGGTGATGTGTTTAGAAGTTAAGGCAAAACTCAGCAAGTTGGTTGCATTTTCTGCTTCTGTCTTTTTCTGGAGATCGTGCTGGTAGGATGTGTGCACCTTTCAAAGGCTGAAGGACTCTGGCTTCTGAGATAGATGGTTCCTGGCGGGGAAACAGGAACATCGAATTCGTGTCAGTGCTAAGCCATGGCTAGCGGTGGTAATATTTCTTAAGAGAGGGACAAGCCACCTACTTTGTAAGCACAAAGTGGACCATCTCTGTCTTTCTGACCAGAAGTGAAAGCCTACCCAGCCTCCCCCTGGCAAGACAGCACACCATAATTCTCCTCATTTGGGGCCTTCTTTTACTTGTTGGAAAAAAAATTAGTTTAGGGAGGATAGAAAGCCAGCCAAATGTCTTCTATCTGATTAGTCCGGGCAATCACAGAGGAACATTTCCCCAAGGAAGAAAAGCCCTTGGCAGATGGAGCGGCTGCAGGGAGAGCCTGCATAGCAACCGATCCCAAACCGTTCCAGGATGTCAGCAGCACTAGGGGGGGCTGGAGCACATGAAAGTGGGTGTGGAGACGGGGAGTGTCTATTTGTACTCAGTCTGTGGAAACGGGGCTGGGGACGCAGTCGGGTCTCTCCTTCCACCTGTGGGTTCCAGGGATTGAACTCAAGTTGTGAAGTTTGGGGGCAAGTGCCTTTACTTCCTGAGCCTTCTCAGTGGCTCTGATGGGTTTTTGTTTGTTTAGGGTTTATTGTTTGAGACAGTGTCTCACTATGTAGCCCTGGCTGGCCTGGAACTTATTTGTGTAGCCCAGGTGGGCCTCAATCTTGTGGTGATGCTGCTGAGTCTGGACCTAAGGATTTGGGAGTACACACAAGTGTGCAACATTATGCTCAGGAGTACACGCAAGTATGTGCCATCACACTTGGGAGCACACGTAAGTGTGCACCTCCCGCTCGGGAACACACACAAGTGTGTACCATCTTTCCAGCATCAGCAACAGATGATATTTTTAAACATCAAGACCTCTCCTTAAAAATGAGACTATAAAATCGGTGCAGTAGCACATGACTTTAATCCCAGTACTAGGGAGACAAAGGTTGGAGGAGTCTCTGTGAGTTCTAGGCCAGCCAGGGCCACAGAGTGAGTGTGCAACATTATGCTCAGGAGTACACGCAAGTATGTGCCATCACGCTTGGGAGCACACGTAAGTGTGCACCTCATGCTCGGGAACACACACAAGTGTGTACCATCCCCCCTCGCCCCCCCCCCCGAGAGAGAGAGAGAGAGAGAGAGAGAGAGTTCTTAGGTTATGGGACCAGTGAGATGGCTCAGGTGGTAAAGCGGCTTGCTGCTGAGACAGATGTCCTGAGTTCCACCTCCACATGGTCAAAAGAGAGGACAGAGGAAAGAGGTTGCTCAGAGCCTCCAAAACTAGGGGAAAAAAACTCAATTAGGAAATTTCATGCTTTGAATTCAGTCTTGTCGGCTGTGATACTGCCTGGAACATAGCTTTTTGTTTTTGTTTGGTTTTTTGAGATTGGGTTTCTCTGTGTAATGGTTCTGGCTGTCCTGGAACTCACTCAGCAGACCAGGCTGGCCTCAGACTCACAGAGATCTGCCTGTCTCTGTCCTGGGAGTCCTAGGATTAGCGGCGTGCACCACCACTGCCTAGCATGAAGCCTTTCTTAACCGGAGATTTTCTGTTAAAATTGGGGATTTTGGCCAAGAGGCAGGCTGATAGAACTGTTGGTGTTCATTGAGCCGTGCCACCGCTGCGGGTCGTGGTTGATTTCTGCTGAATAGGGTTAATATTTTCTGCTTGCTTTCTACTTCTTTTTTTGTTGTTTGTTTGTTTATTCATTTTTTGAGACAGGGTTTCTCTGTGTAACAGTCCTGACTGTTCTGGAACTCACTCTGTAGACCAGCCTTGCCTTGAATTTACAGAGATCCTCCTGCCTCTGCCTCCTGAATGTTGGGATTAAAGGTGTTCACCACCACTGACACTTTTAGACTTGACATTTGAAGTCTGAAAATGCATCATATATATTACCAACTAAGATGGGCAATGTTTATTGAGGCGTCATATTTAGATGGCTTTGTTTTATTTTCTTAAAAAAGATTATTTTTATTTTATGTGTGTACTTTGCCTGCATACATATATGTGTAGCACATGCATGCAGTGCCCTGAGAGGCCAGAGTAGGGCGTCAGATCCCCTGGGACTGGAATTGCAGATAGTTGTGGGCCACCACATTGGGAGCTGAAAACCAAACTAGAATCTTCTATAAGATTGGCAAACTTTAGTTTCTAGTCCACACTCTTAACTGCCGAGTCCTCTCCAAGTTCCACCTCCATTTTGTCAATCTTTGCTCCATCTTGAGTACACAGCCTCTGAGAGCCTGGTTTGACCAAGTTTTGGGACTCAATAAACCAGCATAACTTAAAAATGTTTAAATAATTCATATTTTGTACTAAATAACAGAGTACATTTCTGATTAGATCATTTTAATCCTGAAATAAGTATTTTCAAGTTGTATGGGTAATTTTCCTATCTTAGTTTATGTGTATATATGTCTGTATGATTGTCTGTACATATACCTCATGCATTCTGTGCCCATAGAGAACAGATGAGGGCACTGGTGTGCCCTTTGCTATGAGATATTGTATGGGTGCTGGGAACCCAACCCTCTCTACAAGAGCAGCAAGTGCTCTTAACCGCTGAGCCATCTCTTCAGCTCTATACATCATTCTCTTGTTCTTGGATTCTTGTTCTACCTTCTTTCTCTCTTCTATTTGTCAGATTTATTTATTTTAATTTTATAAATTCGGGCACTTTAGAATTCATTGTATTGATGTCAGCTTTAATAGGTAAAACTTTTGATTTATTTAAAGATTTTTATTTATTTTATGTGTATGTGTTTGTTTGATCTGCATGTATGAATTTATGCCAGAAGAGGGTGCCAGATCTCATTATAGATGGTTGTGAGCCACCATGTGGCTGCTGGGAATTGAACTCAGGTCCTCTGGAAGAGCAGTCGGTGCTCTTAACCCTGAGCCATCTCTCCAGTTCCTATTTATTTATTTTTACAGTAAATCTTTCATAGGCCACTTGACTTGGCACTGCTCTGTGGTCTAGATTGGTCTTGGACTCTAAATCCTCCTCCCCCACTGTTATGGTTTTGGTCCCTTTAAGAGACAAGCCACACCCATTCCCCTCCCCATCCGCTGAGGCAGGCTGATCTTCAGCTTCCTGCCTGAGCTCGCTCTCTTTTCCATCTTCCTCTCAGAGATGCAGCTTTACTTCTGCCTCTCTCCCCACTTCTCTGCTTCCCCCCTTCTCTGTCTCTTTCTCCTCTTCTCTCTTTCTCTCTCTCCCTCTCTCTCTGTCCCCCCTTCACCCTTCCTCCTCCATAACCCCCTGAATAAACATTCAACCTCACCCTGCATGTCGTGTCTATCCATGTTTCTGTCTTCTGCTCGCCCGCCATGTGTCTCCCTGCCTGGAACCAGCCATTGCGCAGGGACCAGCAGCCTTCTCTGCCTGGGGTCCACTGCCTGCTGCCACATGGCCCGCCACCACTGCTCTGGGACCAGCAGCTGTCTCTGCCTGGGACTGGCTGCTCCCAGGGCCCGCTGTCTGCCACCACATGGCCCGCCGCCACCATTTGGGACCTACAGCATTTCTGCTGCCTACTGCTGCGGGGATCTTGCAGCATTTTTAAAAAAGAATAACACCCACCCTTGAGTGCTGGGCTTATCAGCTTGTGCCACCACCCAAGACATTTCTTTCCTATGAAGCTAAGAAAAGCAATGAGATCTTTTCATGGCAATATTTATTAAATTTTTGTATCTAAGCCTGCTTTACAGTTTCTAAATTACTTCCACTCGTCAGTTTATTCGGATCCACATCTAAGAGTTGGTTTCCAGGTCGACTTCTGCAGCCGCGTTACTCTTGCATTGTCGTGAGAGAAGGCCAGACAGAAGTAAGAGATTTTTCTTGGTTCATGGTTTTGGTCTATCGTGGTGGGGACGGCGTGATACAGTGGCTGAGCTCTGGTGTCTTGTTCCTGTCTCGCCCTCTGTGGTGTGAGCAGCCTCCCTCTGCCATGTCCTCTGTTGACATATCAGAACGGAACAATCCAAACAACCCTTCCTCCCTTGATGTCACAAAGTATCTACCACCGTGGAGTGGTTCTGGGACCAAATCACTAAACATAGCCTCTTTGTTCTTTGGGACTGATATGTGGGCACAATTTGAAAATTTGGGGATATGTGTCTTAGAGAAGACTTAGAATTTTGTAGGTGGCCCTTAACAGGTAATTCCTGTAGGAGCTGGGGAGACCAGAATGCTGGGACTGTAATATCGGGCTTGGCGAGGTTAGAGATGGGAACGAGCCTGGAGTGGGAATGGGACCACAGGCCGTTCCCGTTACATTCTGGTGGAGAATTTGACTACACTGTGCTTGTGCCTTGAGAGTTTGAGTAAGGCCAACATAAGGACGTGATTTGGAGGAGGAGCTTCAAGGTAGCATAGTGCTCAGACTGAACTGTTAGTTATGACTGGTGTTGTGCTTTCCTGTCCCTTTAAGGGACAAGCCACACCCACTTTCATTACCTCTGACCTGCCTGCCGCCATCTTGGGCCCTTCCTTTTCTGCTTCCTTGATGTACGTGCTTTTTATTATAAGGAAGACCGGGGAATGTTATGGTTTTGGTCCCTTTAAGAGACAAGCCACACCCATTCCCCTCCCCATCCGCTGAGGCAGGCTGATCTCCAAGTGAAGAGGCAGGGTAAAACCAGGAGAGTGTGGTCATGTGATCTGGCCCTCAGCCAAGATGGCGGAAAAAGTCACCTGACCCATCTGGCCCTCAGCCAAGATGGCGACCACCACGTGTAGTCTGCTCTGTTGGAGAGCCTGCCATGCCATAACAAAAGCCGCAGAGGGGAGGGGCAAAATGCTGGAACCGAAAAAACCAGCCATTTAAATTTTTTTTAAGGTAGTAGGGGCCATTTTGGATAGAGACTGATAAGTGTGAGGCATTTAAAGCATGAGGCCAGAGTGATAGGTCTGGATGGCTTGGCTCCCATGGTCAAGGCCGTGAAAACACCCACAAAAACTGTGGCACCTCAAGCCTACAACGAGAACGGCTCCCCGTTAAGGCAAGATGCAGATGGCACGAACACCCAGGCCCTGTGAACAGATGTCCGAGCTCACAGGGGGGGTGCTATAACCTGGCTGAATCGACTCGAGCCTCCGACAGGAGAGGGATTCCGGGGCAGGAGGGATTCAGCCAAGGTCAGGCTGCACTGTAGCGGCGTGCTGCACCGTAGCAGCAGTTACGACGAAAAGAAAGAAGAAAAGGAATGAAAAAAGAAAAAGAGGGAGAACTGGAGACCCCAGGCCTCCAGGCGCGGGTGAGCTGAGGGGCTGGCTAAGGCCAGCCATCTCAGGCACAGGCTTAGCACAGGAGACAAGCCGAATTGAATGCCAGCGAAGGGAACAACCGAGGCCCTGAAAGCCCGCGGTTGGAGGTCCCCCCATCCCTAAAAACCGTGAAGGGTTGCCAGGAGCTCAACCGTCAATCCCTTGGGTTAAAAGAGATGGTTAAGCTAGCCGAGATGGGGACACTCACGATTAGTTGATTTGTTGTTTGGAGGAGCTGCGTCCAGGCAGATGGAACACGTGGGTCATTGTAGAGAAGGTCCTCGAGTCCTGATTCTGCCCCAGGAGGGAGCTCAGAGTCCTGGACGGCACCTACAGCCGGAACTCTGGCCCCAGGTGAAAGTCTGGGGCGGGCGAATCATCCGAGTCACGTGGCACCAAAATGTTGTTCTTTTTTAAAAATGCTGCAAGATCCCCGCAACAGTAGGCAGCAGAAATGCTGTAAGTCCCAAATGGTGGCGGCGGGCCATGTGGTGGCAGGCAGCAGGCTCTGGGAGCAGCCAGTCCCAGGCAGAAATGGCTGCTGGTCCCAGCGCGGCGGCCCTAACGGTGGCGGTGGGCCATGTGGAGGCAGACAGTAGGCCCTGGGAGCAGCCAGTCCCAGGCAGAGACAGCTGCTGGTCTCAGAGCAGTGGTGGCGGGCCATGTGGCAGCAGGCAGTGGGCCCCAGGCAGAGACGGCTGCTGGTCCCTGCACAATGGCTGGTTCCAGGCAGGGAGACACATGGCAGGCGGGCAGAAGACAGAAACATGGACAGACAGGACATGCAGGGTGAGGTTGAATGTTTATTCAGGGGGTTATGGAGGAGGAAGGGTGAACGGGGGGACAGAGAGAGAGGGGGGAGAGAGAGAGAGAGAGAGAGAGAGAGAGAGAGAGAAGAGGAGAAAGAGACAGAGAAGGGGGGAAGAGAGAAGTGGGGAGAGAGGCAGAAGCAAAGCTGCCTCTCTGAGAGGAAGATGGAAAAGAGAGCGAGCTCAGGCAGGAAGCTGAAGATCAGCCTGCCTCAGCGGATAGGGAGGGGAATGGGTGTGGCTTGTCTCTTAAAGGGACCAAAACCATAACAACTGGGTTTAGCAGATTTTCAGTGAGCACTGAAAGGAAAGGTAGACCAGAAACCTGTGAAAAATGTGGTATACAAAGGGCCCATTTAGAGGCCATGCAATGTGTCTATTAAACGTGGTGGTGGGGGGTTGCAGCCATTGAAAAGAAGCCAGGAGATTCGCATGGGACAATAGAAAGGGTGTTTCGGGCCATCTCAGGAATTGTTGAGACCCGGCTTACTATAGCCCCTTGGGAGTAAAGCTGAAACTCATTCGGAAGATGTACTTTAAACAGAGTTCTGCTGAGCTCTCCAGGGTGGTGTCTTACCAGGTCCAGCTACCCAGACACCTAGAGGCCACGGCAGCCATGGTGTAAGGTGTGGCAAGCTTTTACTGAAGGAGAACTTGGATTCTGCTGGCATGAGGCACGGGGGGCTTCTACCGAGGTTTCTGAGAGAAGCCATGAAGCCAGCCCCGTGTGTCGCAAAGTCAGAACTCTATGTGTAGCTCCCAGGTCTCTAGCTCTGAAGAGTGGGGATAACAGGTGTCCACTGCCATGTCCAGTTTGTCTGATGCTAGGGTGGAACCTAGGTAGGCACTCTACAGACCGAGCCTCTGAATATTTTTGCTTCATAGCGAGTTCCAGACTACAGGACATATTGCTACCCAAGGAGGCTGGCTCCTCCCGAGCACAGCAGGCCACCCACCGAAGCACAGGTCTATGAAAGAATTGACTCATGAGCATCTGCATGGGGAGGCAGAGTCCCAGAACCGCAGCCTGCATTCCTGAGGAGAAGGGTTACGGATACCCTTTTCCCAGATTTTACAATTTACTTTTGTGTATCAGTATGCACATGCGCTGTGTGTGTCTGACGCCTGTGAAGATCAGAAGTCAGCGGATCCCTGCAACTCGAGTGTTGGCTGATTGTGAGCTGCCGTGCTGGTGCCGCCAAGCCATCTCTCCAGCCCCTATTACTGAAGGAAAGAAACTTTATTTCATCGATCTTTATCGCGTATGTGCACATGCGTGCGTGCAGCGGTGTCTCTGTGCTGCTCGGGGAACAGCTCTGCGGAGCTGAGTCTCACCTCCCATTTTCAGCTGGGATTGGGGGATTGAAGTCAAGCCATCAAGGTTTCAAGGCATATACCTTCTCCTGCTATGCCATGTAGCCAGGCCTGGATTCAGGAATAATTATGAGGTAGGAAACAGAGGTGTCTGACATGGGGAAAGCTGGCTGCGGGTTAGATCAGAAGTCTCTGAGTTCATAGCAATTGTCTTTATAGCAAACATATGCTCAGGAAAAAAGGCATTAGCATCACCCAAGAGTGGAGGTCTGAGTTCTGGGACATCCAACCGGTACCCAGGCCTACATGGACTGACATGAATGGATAGGGGTTTCAGGTGTTCAAGCTGCTTCTAAGTTCCTGCAAATCAGCTCAGACAGTTGTTGCCATGGTAATTCACACATCAGCATGTGTGATTCCCCTCTGTATGCTGTGAATGTCATTGGTTAATAAAGGAACTGCTTTGAGTCTCTAGCAGAGCGATAGGGGAACAGAGCTAGGTGGGGAAAACTAAATGGAATGCCGGGAGAAAAAAGGGCGGAGTCAGAGAGAAGCCACGGAGCTGCCAGAGACCGATCCTGGGAACTTTACCGGGTAAATCCCTGCCACATGGCGGTACACAGGTTAATAGAAATGGGTTAAATTAATATAAGAGTTAGCCAATATAAAGCTAGAGCTAATGGGCTAAGCAGTGATTTAATTAATATAGTTTCTGTGTGATTATTTCGGGGCTAAGCTAGCCGGGTGGCCGGGAACCAACAAGCGGCTCTCCACCAACCAGAGTGTCCCCTTCAGCTAGGAGTGCACTGTTGGTGGCAGGAGGGAGAGAAGCTGAGGGTTTCCTCAGCGTCAGTATTGGTGACAGGAAAACTAGATGACTGGAAATAACAAGACTGTATTCTTCTTCCATGTAGACCGTCATACTCCATGTTTCCACAGCCACCATGTCACATGGTCCAAGGAAAAGATGGGCAGGTGGAAATAGGACTTGCTGCCAAGGGACCAGCGCAGAACCCAAGCGAGCTTGTCATGGGCAGGACTGCTGTGGTTCCATGGAAACTTCCAGCCTGGCTTGTGAGAGCCTGAAGGAACCTTGTGAACATTGGCTTTAATCTCCTCATTTTCTAGATGAGAAAAGCAGGCCCATGGGAGAGAAGTGACTCACCTACCAGCCTGGCGGTTGACTGGCACCATTGGAATGGGGCTCCAGTCTTTCATTTCTAACTGAATCCCAGGAGCGTCATTTCAGGCACGATGGGCCAGGGTGGGATGTTTGCATTGAGCATGCCCCCTCCCTATAAGGTGACGCGGTAAAGAAGCAGATGGCCTGGGTAGGAATTCTGACCCCAGCCCTTCTGGGCTTGGTGGCTTTGTGCCATCCTGTGAATGGACCCATACTGAGGCATTGGTGACTACGGGGGGTTCCATTCCAGATGAACCCACTTTCTAAAGAGGGATAAAATAAATCTCTGCTGCTGGCACCTTAGGAAAGAGCCCACGGAGCCAGTGTGCCGTAAATGCCGTAAATGCCGCAAATGCCGAATGAGTGAGCACAGGTGGAGCTCGTTTGCTTGAACTTGGATCCAGGGAAGGATCGGGAAGTTAGCCTCCCGGAGCTCTCTAGTGCAATCCGCAGGAAGTGGCGACTGCATATTCTCCACTTGTGTAAGGTTTGTGTTACTCCCCGAACTCATTCTGAGATGGACAAAGTGACGCGGATTCTAACTGGAGGCTGAGCTCAGTTCTATTGGTTCCCAGGGCGGTGGAGGCGAGCGTTCCAGTGAGGTCATTTGATCGATAGTTTGTGATCTCCAAAGACTCCTAACAGACAAAGGACTGGAAGCAGAGCCATAGCTGTTTCTCTGTTTTTGTATACAGTGGAGGATGCCATATTCTTGGGAGTCTATGTGTACATGATTCCCTCTCTCTCTCTCTCTCTCTCTCTCTCTCTCTCTCTCTCTCTCTGTGTGTGTGTGTGTGTGTGTGTGTGTGTGTGTGTGTGGTGGCTGTGCTTGGGATGAAAATCAGGGTCTGAAACTTGCTAGATGAGTGCCAAACCATTAAGTTAAATTCCAAGCCCACCGTTTTTTTGAGACAGGATCTCACTGTCTAGCCCAGGCTGGTCTTGAGTCCATAATCCTCCTGCCTCAGCTTCCTCAGTGATGGTATTCTAGGCTATGCAGTCTTAATATAGTATATCAAGGAAATCTCCTAGAATCCTTAAAGCAATCAAGGGCCGGTGAGACGGTTCATGGGGTAAAATTTGATGCCCGGGATCCACGTGGTGGGAGGAGAGAACTGACTCCTGCAAATGCTTCTCTACTGTAGCACACATGTATACTCTTACACGCGCGTGTGCACACACACACACACACACACTTAAAAATGTAATATAAGCTTCACAAGGATGAAGGCTGGTGTTGGGGATAAAGTATAAGACAGATATTTCCTTTGTTGTAGCTGGAAACAGGGCGGCCGAGGCGGGAACAGGTCCATGTTGTGGGGAGCAGGAATAATGTCTACAGGGAGTCCTCTTTCATTAGGTAAAGATTTATCCAGCATTACTTGGCCCAAGAATGGATGAGTGCTTAGAACCCTCGGGGACAAACTCGTCTTGCCTGTGGAGATCACAGGATAACATTGGTATAAATTTGCTTACTAAATTTGGAAAGATTTTCACACAAGGTTTGGAAGGACACACTTCAAACCTGATGGTGCCCAGGACCAATGGAGGGTTGGTGGGCATCCACACATCAAAGAGGTGTGGATGCCCTCAATACCCACTGCCTAAGTGACAGAGAAGCATCAACAGAAAAAGCGGGGCAAGGACAGCAGGCAATTAAAAAGCAGAAGCGGAAACAATCGGTCAAGTTCGGTGAAAAACTCAATGCAAATTAAATCTTCAACAAACCAAGTTGATGTTACGGTGTGACACTGAGCATTTGGTGAAAGCCAACTTTCAGAGTTGGTGGTATGGGAGAAGATTGTAAAATGAGCAAGTCAACGTAGATTTCCAGTGAGTTCAGGGTCATTGCCTGTTACATATTGAGTAGATGGAAATACATGAGATCCTGTCTCAAATTAATAAAAATAGATTCAGGTAAATCCACATGAGGTCTGTGATGACTCTGGAGGACATGCGAGCCACTCTTGTTTCTTGATGGAAGTCCTCTGTCTGTCATCTGGCTTGGCCTAACCTGAGATGTCTGCGCCCAAGGTTCAGACATCCATCCCTAGGACCGCTTCTTAGAAGTGGGAAATGCTGAGCCAGGCTTTCTTACATAACAACTGCTTGTGTTGGTATCTGGCTATGAACTAGTTAGCATGTGACTGAACTAGCTGGTGTATGACTGTGAACTAGTTAGTTGTGACTTTGTGGACTAGTTAGCATGTGACTGAACTAGTTGTATCACTATGAACTAGTTAGTGTGTGACTTTGTGAACTAGTTAGCATATGACTGAACTAGCTGGTCTATGACTATGAACTAGTTAGTGTGTGACTTTGTGAACTAG